ACGTAGACTCCACTATTTGTTATGAATATTCTAAGTAACACTTTAAAGTGTGAACATTCCAGGGCCAGCCAAATAGCTCAGAGGATTAAAGCACCTGCAAGAAGGCGCAGGAGCCAGGGGTTCGATCCCTGGGCTTGCTGTGCTGGCCCTACCCTTGGGGTGTGACGAGATGGCAATTGAGACTGGACGTGGTGGCATGCACCTATAATCCCAGCTCTTAGGAGGCTGTAAACAGGCAGATCACTATGAGTCTGATCTAGTAGTGAGCCCCTGACCACCCTGTAGACCCTTCCCTAAAATGCAAAAAAAAAAAAAAAAAGTGAACATTCCACCTCATAGCTACAAAAGACACACAGATGTTACCCTAGAACCCTGTCAGGGACACCATACCTACTTGAAGTAAATTCCTCTTGGATGTAGAGAGTTTTATACCACATTCTTCAAAACACACAGACTATGTTTCTTGAAATAGAGTAGATAAGAGTAAGCTCTTTTATATGTAGATATAATAAATAAAGAAAAACTAATGTATTTTGTCTTCTCTGTAGATTAAACCTGCAAAAAGAGAGAATCCCACAAAATCAATGTCATCCAGCTGGGTTTTAAAATTAATGAGTTATGGGATGAAATAAATGATAAATATGACAGAAAAAAGGATCAAAAAATGGAAGTAGTAGCTGTACTGTGGATCAAGGCTTCATGAGTCAAAGGTGATAGCAGGAAACAGGAAGGAAAATAGTCTATTAAAAGATTCAGCAACTAAATCCAGAATGTTTGGCAATTAGCCAGTTAAGTCACAATTTCAGTAGTCCAGAAGACTACCTGCTATTGTATAGGGTCACCTGGCCCATTAAGGAGACATCAAGCAACTCTCATCTAATTGTCAGGGATGGATTCCAAGGACCAAGGAGGTACTCAATAAGCTCTCAGCTAGCTCTCCCACTGAAGGAGACAAATTTGTTTCATTTCTCCTTTCTGTGATTCAGCTTTATGTTGAGTCATCAAGTATATTTCATGATGCTAAAAGTTGATGCTGACTTCGATCTTTTCAATACACCTGTAAGACATGGATGCAACACCAATACCTAGAAGTTCAGAAGTGCATTTCACTTCCTAAGT